CGAGAGAAGTCCACACACACACACACGCACGCACACAAAGACAAACACACGCGTGAGAGCGGTCTTTCACAGTGTGAGCAGGTGATGACAAACCATGCCGTGACGGCATGTGACAGCCATCTCACGCCAAGTACACAAAGCAGTGTTTCAACACTTTCAATCATGCTTCACTCAGGGGGCGGCACGCAAAGCTCTCAGAGTGTGCATGGAGACTTCAATGGCCATACCTTCACGGCAGTTTGTTTGTCGAAGCTCGACTGGCTGCATCCACGACGACTCAAGTCTGCAGTGCATGCAAGCTTTCAACCGCCGCTTTTGTGAGACAAACAGGACTCCAGCCGTCCGCGGTGGACTCTACAATCTCACAGCTCTGACCGGAGCCGTCGCAGTAAGTGCGGGCAGCGCACAAGACCCTGCGCCTGCTTTTGGCAGTAGCACTCGCAAGACGTCTCTTCCCGGCAATCCGCATGGATCATCTCGCAATTGCACTCGGAGAGTCTTTGAAGCAAACCCTGCTCTGTATGAAGGTCGCAGTAAGCGCACGGTGGGCACGTGACGCTTGGATCGGGCCAAACATCTGCGCAGTTTTTCCCTGGAGCAATTTCTTCGACATTGTAATGCGGTTCTGAATATGTCGCGGCACCATCCACATAAGTGCGAAACTTGCATCCCTCAGGCGACTCCTCGCAACAACGGTGGCAGGACACTGGATGGGCAAATGGGTTTTCAACGAGCATGTCTTCGGGGGAGCGGCAGCCACTCGTGACACAGCATTCTGCATTGGTACAGCAGTCAGCGTCTGCGATGGGGCAGTCGCCCAGATCTTCCGTGTGGCATGAATCCAACTGCCAAGACCCTTCCATTTCCACACATGAGATGCAGTCAATTGCAGTGGAGCGTGCATCAAGGGCGCATGTAGCCGTCACCAATCCGAAAGCCCAGAGCCTCATCAGCCATCTGAAGCTCCAAGCAGATCTCCCAAGCTTTTCGAGCCCGGCACGCTGCAACAGGGTGAGAATGCTGGGTGCATCTGCTGTCGGCCGTGGCTGCTCCAGAATGCTCCTCCGGAAAATGAGGCTCGCACCAGCTTTCGAGCGACAGGGAAAGAAGTTCGACAGTGTGGAAGATGAACATGCCCTGCCAACATCGAACCAGATTAAGTGCTTCTGTCGACTAGGACCTGGGAGCTAAGCATACACCAGGCAACGCACAACCAAAAGCAGCGCTTTTCTTTGCGGTTTTGCGGCTGGGTCCGTCAAGCCAGCTTCACTTGCTTCTCTGCTCATCTGGACCAAGCTGATAAAGCATAAGTGCTCGCACAGCAGTGTCATAGTCGTCCCACCTGCGATTGGGACTGGCGGCAGTCAAGGCTGAATCTCTGAGTCACCATGTCGGCTTCCATAGACTCTGTCTGTCCCAGAATCCTAGCCTCCCAGATCGTCTGCACATCGACATTATGAAAAAAATGCAAGCATCTGATGCATGTGCATTAACAGTAGTAGCAGCAGCAGCAATAGAAGCAGTAGAGGTTGTGCTGATATTGGCAGTAGCGGTAGCCGTGGTCGTCGTCGTAGCAGTAGTAGGCGTTAGTGCAATAATGGAGGAAGTGAAAGCAATGGTAATACTTGCCCTAGCGGCTGCAGCAATAATGGTAGCACTAGCAGCAGTAGGAGAAGTAGTAGAAGCTGTAGACATGGTCGTAGTGGTAGTGATGGCAGCAGCAGCAGCAGCAGCAGGAGTAGTAGTAGTAGTAGTAGTAGTAGTAGTAGTAGTGGTAGTAGTAGTGGTAGTAGTAGTAGGAGTAGCAGTGGCAGTGGCAGTGGCAGTGGCAGTGGCAGTA